TTTTTTGTTTTTAATTTCTTTCTACAACTATCACTACAAAAAAAATTGTTATATTTCAACGGAAAATCCTATGTTAATATATTCCAATGGAAATTCCAACGGATACTCCAATGGTATAGCTTCCGTTGGAATGGTTCCAACAGAAATTCCAACTGAAATATTCTGTTGGAATGTGTTTTTCATTGGAATTTTAGATAGAATTTGTTGATTCCAACGGCTATATTTCCAACGGCTTTTTACCGTAGGAATTTACGTTGAAATATGCAATTTCCGTTGGAATTTTTATTTTCACCCCTGTTGGAAAATCCACCGTTGGAATCATCAAAATCCAACAGAAATTCCAATGGAAAACTCATTGCAACGGAATATTTCTGTTGGAATTTCCGTTGGAATCCATTTAAAAATTTCAATGGAAATAATAGTATTGAAATATCCGTTGGAATTGCCGTTGGAATCGTTCTATTATAATAAATTTCCGTTGGAATTTTATCATTTTCTTGTAGTGTATATTCTAAATTTGTATGTACTTATTTTGCATAGAGTGACAACGAACGATATGAGCCGAACAAACACGAACCTCGGACAAACTCATATAATAAATTAAAAAAATTAATAAAGTCAAGACATGTGAGACACACTATTCGTAAGATGACATTGCCATTGATTAATGTCACCGTTTTCGACAAACACCTCCAAGATACAACGACTTTTATCTTGTGTATAGTGACAGTTCAAATAAGATTTTGGCAAAACTTACTTGAGTTTAAAACCCTAAAAAAATGAAGAAAAAATAATGAACACAAAATGATCATGAATGATATTATGTTTTAACTTTTATCTTAATTTCTTATCTATATATTAGGTTTGTGTTGAATAATCACTCAAAAGGGTATTTATAGGTGTTGGGGAATATCATTAAAAACTTTAAACTGAATACACACCTTTTCCGACGAGCTCACATTTGAACGGCACTTGAAAGCCAAAATTCTTTATGGACACTAGGGAGTGCGCTGTCACGCCAGATAGATGAAACACCATCGTATTTATGAAGAGAGTTTTGCTGGCTGAGATGGTCATCATACATCCACATGTCCTTAACAAGCCTTATCCGAGCTCTATGCTTAGTGCACAGCTCGTTTGCCTAAGCATTCATCAAATACCGAGTCTATCAATCTTTGAGCTACTTAATTAAACTCAATTTTGAGCTTCAATCTCATATTTTTACACACATACAACTGATGAGAATTAATTTCTATTTCACCTTAAAAAAAAGTATTGAAGATTTCTATATATATCTTCCATTAATTACAAAAAATAGAACCATAAAGTAGGTACAAAATTAATATTTGATGTGAAGATGGTCCACATGTTGAGAACATGTTCTTAGTGAACACAATGAAATTACTGAAAACATCATAATAAAGTTGAAGTTGTACTCAAGTCAAAAGCTTCGTTGCTCTTTGAAGAAACAATTTTTCATGTGTTATATGCAATCATATTGGTTGTAAACCAACATGCCACAACATGTTTTTTGATGCACGCTCAAAGGATATGGTTGAAAATTATTTGAATGACAATTTGAAATAACTGCCACTAGATTTCAAAGCTTTCTAAAACCATGTTCATATTTCATCATATTTGCATGTAGGAAATTGAGAAAGCTAACATGCTCGATTTTGCGTTGTCGTCAACTAGAGTGCGATGTAGGTTGAAGAAATTAAAGTTAGACATGTTTAGAACATCATTATAACGCTTCTCAAGAGACTAAGTGAAAAATTATTAAACCCATAAAAGTTTAGTGAGCATTAAGCCACTGAGTTTTAATGATCTCCATATAGACCTTCAGACTTTTGAAATCAATTGTGACTATGGAGTTGTCAAGATCTCATGAATAACTTTGAAAGTAGTGTTTCTATATGCGAATAAAGTGAACAAGAAGAATAACTTAAAATGTATGATTCAAAACTTGAAGTTGCTGCCCTTCTAAATCGTGCATTGAATAATTAGCTTATGATGTATCAGGTTAGAACCAATATGGTTGTATAGAGCACTTGAAAATTAGATTATTCAAGAGCATTGTATTTTGGCCTAATTGCTAATAAAACCATGACCTTTTCGAAAATTGCAATTATATGTACCACTTTTAAACTTGGCAAAAATATACACCACTTTCATTAATGTTTGCAATTTCATCCTCCGGGCCCAATTTCGAGCTTTTATTGCTGATGTGGCGAATTTCTTGCAATGTCTGTTGACATGGCATATGACTTGCCATGACTGGTGAATAATGTGATGATGATTTCTGCTTACATGGTATATTGCTGGGGATAAAGATAATATAATATTATA